ATGTTTAGATTGAACAAATGCATGTATCCCCTAATTTGGTTATAAACCTTTTTATTTGTTAGTGTGAGAGTTAAATTTTTACTTACTAAGCATGCGTAGCTCATTAGATTATAATTACAAAACAGGCAAAACAAGAGCAAGACCAAGAGGTACAACACTATGAAGCTTAAAGTGTGCAGAGATGTTTTAGATTATAGCAGAATAGATTTTATAGGGAAATTAGCAAAAAGATATATATGTATAATCAACATAGAAGTAAAATTTTCCTTCTTGGAATGACTTACTATTAGAAATATGTAGAATGATAGATACATTTGGGAGATGTGTAAATTTAAGTGTTATGTATCCCTATAAATTGTAGGGCGGAAGTGTGGTGGGATGGTACCCAGCCCCTCTTAGGGTATGGGTTGTTATAAATGTTACGATAATTTATATTCAATAATAATTTAACAATTTATTCCACTAATAAAACAAAAAATATTTAGTTTATTACATTGTTACATAACTCAAAACGATAAATACTATGAGATTGTTATATACAAAAAGATTATAATGAAATTGTAACAATAAAATCCAAATAAAATTTATGAAGTTCCATAGTTTAAGTATTAATATGACTTATAAACCTGTAATATGGATAGATTTATATACAATACATTATCTTCAAGGAAATATTTAAGTTTAGTAAATATTTGATGATATAATGAATATGATTGTATTTATGCACATAGTTGTAAAAATAAGTTCATTGAATTGATTCGAATAAATGGATTCTTGTTAGAATTATATTACTTATAAAATATTTCTAATTTTTTTTTTATTAAAGTATTGACCTCACTAAATACGAGTAGAATACTATGATTTTATGTGGTTATTTATTTTAGAAAGATGTTCATTAAATTGTTTGGTATAGATAGGATTTTGTATTAAACTATTTTACGTGTTTCCATATCTTTCAAATTTCTTATTAAAAGTAAGATATGATCATCATTGTAAAACAAAGAAAAGAAGATTGGAAAGACAATTGAGTAAATAATTTTTGCATTAGTGATGACTGTTTTTCACTTTTTTATAGCTTTATTTTAATGAGTTTTTTTTCTTCATCATTCATGGTGTATTTTCTTTGGATTTTTTCTTAGTTAAAAAGTAAGAAATATCTACGAGAGTAAAATTGAATAAGTAAGTATTTTACCTTAATGAGTTTGTACCAATTAAAAATCGCGAAATTAAGATTGGTTTAAGAAGTAGGCTTTAGAAAAAAGCCATCATTAGCATTGTTTTAGATTTTAAAAAAATAGTGAAATTACTTAAAAACGAATTATTTGTCCACAAAATATGAACATGAATTACTCACATCATTAAGATTTAAATACAAAATTAATCTTATTACCTACACTACTAAGATTTAAATAAGAATTAATCTTAAAAAAGAAACAAAACAAGGTTTATATAATGAATTAAAATTATATAATACTAAAATCTATATGTACAAAATCTTTTATTTAAGATTAAATAAGTAATATTATGCCAACAATCCCTTTAAGTGATATTGTCAAATATCAACATATGAGTTTGTAAACCAAAAAATTACTCATATTTACAAGTAACAACTCATAATTAGTTTTAAAATAGCAGGAACAAAAGAATATAAATAAGTTGGAATAAATGATTTTTTTATTTAAAATCAAATATCTAAATTTATGCTAACAATTCCTTCAAACACAAAAGTCGTATGCAAAATAAAAAATCAATAATTACTTTAATTATTCCATTAAATATTTAAATCATACTTAATTTATATACATTAAATAACTAAAATTTTAAAAATTAAATAAAAATAAAATAATTCTGAAACAAATATCTATGAATTGAGACAGGAAAGAAGATTTCTTAATGCAGGAGTAATAAGAAAAGTTTTTCAAAATTTAAAATATAATAAAAATAAATAGTAAATACTTATTTCCATTTATTGGTAATTAAATTATAAAATATAAGATGTCTATTTTCTTTTAGGAAAGAAAGTTCACAAATCGATTTAATAAATCTTTTAACTCCTCCCCGCGTTTCTCTCCATGAAAATAGGACTTGTCAACTTTCTTTAACCGAAAAACCCACTCGCCTATAAATACCCCCTCAGTCTCCCTTCCCAAGTAAGTTTCTTCTCTGCTCCGGAACCTTCTTCCCGCTCTCACACACCAAAGCCATGGTGAGTCAGACACGCTCTAACAGTATCAAGTTTCTATGCACCTATGGCGGCAAGATCCTGCCTCGCTCCTCCGATGGCGCGCTCCGTTACGTCGGTGGACTCAACAGAGTCCTCGCCGTTGACCGCTCTGTATCTTTTGCAGGTTTCTTGATCTCCCTTTTTTATAAGATACTTTTTTCTGTAAAAATTTAACCATTGCTAGAGCATGGTGGAATAACAATAATTTATTGTTATCACAGAGTTGATGGAGAAATTAGTTGAGTTCTGTGGATTCTCAGTGACGTTACGGTGTCAGCTGCCTGGGGGAGATTTGGAGACGCTAATCTCCGTAAAATCCGACGAGGAGCTAGCTAACATTATCGATTTGTACGATCTGTCTGCGCCAGGTTCGAAGATCAGAGCCATCCTCTCTCCTCCCAAATCGATCAAGCAAATTTCTCCTACGCCAAGCCTCGTTTCCTCACCAAAATCTCCGTTTACGGCCTTCGGTTCTCCACCGGCGCCGTTCTTTCCCTTTGTTCCAACAACTTCCTCCCCGCTGGTGCAATATCCCTTTGGATTTTATATTCGATGCAGAGATGCTAGGAAGTCGTTCCCGGCCGCTTGTCACTGCAACCATCGACATTGATTTTAAAGAAAACATTGCAGGGAGCCACCCGCAGTAGATGATGACGAAGAAAAGAAGGTATAGACAAAAACAAAATAGGAGATACGGAAATTAAGTTCCAATTTCTTGTGTCTTTTTGAGGTTTCATGCCGCAATTGTAAATCTTTAAAGAACTAAAAAGAAAATTTGGATTCGGAGGATATGCACTTTTTGTGTCTCTTTTTTAATTTTAATTTTTTATTTTAATAAGAAATAATTAAAAACTAAAACTGAAATATAATTTAATTTAAAACAAAGCTCTCTCTTTCTGGGATCTCCATAAAATGTCTCCGTTGTTGGATTGTCACCAACTCTGGAATATCAGAGCTAGAAGCACAATTTGCCCCCTGGGTTGTCATTGTATAAAAGAAAATTAAAGGATTAAATTGTAATTATATTTCTTCTTCTCTACACTGGGTCCTTTTCTTCAACATAATTCAGATATAATGTTCATTATCAAACAAAAATTAATGCAAATATTTTTTAAAATTAGAAAAATCAAAATTATAATAACTAATTTAAATGAACTCTCTCTCTCTCTCTCTCTCTCTCTCTCTCTCATCCCCCCACATACCTGAATCCATCATTTATCTCCGTTGTTCACAGACATTCGTTGAAGGGTAGCTTCAGCGGCTCGATCAAAAGCTGTGGCGAACCCATTCTCTGGGAGCCCTGGTGATAATGTTTGTGGATCTCTCCCGAAAGCTAAACCACAAATGTTATCAAAGGTAAGTCGAAGCAAGATGTTTTGAAGGTCAATCGGCTTGCCCTCCAGTTGAGCTGCTTCAAGAATAGGACCGATTCACCCATCGACACATGGCTTGACCAAGAGTCGGGTGGTGAATCCTACTGCAGCATTCTTGACCCGAAAAAGCCATGCATCACTATCAGAGTTAAAGATTCCTTCGCCAACCAACTGTGCTAACTATTAACGTACGTGTCAGCCCAACGCCGTATGACGAACACGCGGCAAGCACTGAACGACAAACATATTACGCTTCCCTTATATCCCCTTGCGGTAACCCTAACGGCGAAATTTGGGGCAAACAGAAACAGACAACAACACGAATGCAAAAATTATTTACTCAATTGTCTTTCCAATCTTCTTTTCTTTGTTTTACAATGAAGATCATATCTTACTTTTAATAAGAAATTTGAAAGATATGGAAACACATAAAATAGTTTAATACAAAATCTTATCTATACCAAACAATTTAATGAATATCTTTCTAAAATAAATAACCACATAAAATCATAATATCCTACTCGTATTTAGTGAGGTCAATACTTTAATAAAAAAAAAATAGAAATATTTTATAAGTAATATAATTCTAACAAGAATCTATTTATTCGAATCAATTCAATGAACTTATTTTTACAACTATGTGCATAAATACAATCATATTCATTATATCATCAAATATTTACTAAACTTAAATATTTCCTTGAAGATAATGTATTGTATATAAGTCTATTCATATTACAGGTTTATAAGTCATATTAATACTTAAACTATGGAACTTCATAAATTTTATTTGGATTTTATTGTTACAATTTCATTATAATCTTTTTGTATATAACAATCTCATAGTATTTATCGTTTTGAGTTATGTAACAATGTAATAAACTAAATATTTTTTGTTTTATTAGTGGAATAAATTGTTAAATTATTATTGAATATAAATTATCGTAACATTTATAACAACCCATACCCTAAGAGGGGCTGGGTACCATCCCACCACACTTCTGCCCTACAATTTATAGGGATACATAACACTTAAATTTACACATCTCCCAAATGCATCTATCATTCTACATATTTCTAATAGTAAGTCATTCCAAAAAGGAAAATTTTACTTCTATGTTGACTATACATATATATCTTTTTGTTAATTTCCCTATAAAATCTACTCCGCTATAATCTAAAACATCTCTGCACACTTTAAGCTTCATAGCGTTGTACCTCTTGGTCTTGCTCTTGTTTTGCCTATTTTGTAATTATAATCTAATGAACTACGCATGCTTAATAAGTAAAAATTTAACTCGCACACTAACAAATAAAAAGGTTTATAACCAAATTAGGGGATACATGCATTTGTTCAATCTAAACATCTATTTTCTCCCTCATTCACCTTTGATTTTTCCATGTATCCCTTTCCTCGACCCTCTACCCTCCAATTCTTGCTCATTTGTAAGCCAATCTGTCACAGAACGTTTCTTGCCCTTTTTTTCGTTTATTCCCAATGTCCAGTAACCATACTACAATCACAATATTCCTCCCCTATCTTTCTGTATATCTTAAGGTCATTCACAGTCATGTACTAATTCATCACCCTGTTTTTCCTTAATTATCCATTTGACTCTCTCATTTTGTTGAGCACCTCATAATCCCATTTTACATACACTTGGTCTTTCAGGACCCCCAATTGATGAGACTCACATATACTGTAGAGACCCAGAACTTAAAGAAAAATAAATTCATAAATTTAATGCGGAAGTGATTAATAAAGTTAGGGTTTACATTTTTTACACAATAATTTTAAATGCCTAATAGGGATACAAGAATATCTCTTCTAAAAGACAAATAGAAATTAAAGAAATAAAACTAAAAATGAATAACTAAATATTTTACGACAACCTTCACTAGCACTTGAAGAGAGTCCAGATAGTAAACTAATCACAACCCTCTTACTGATCGGGATCTGAATTTTGGTCCTCTTGATCTGAAATAGTTAATGAAAGGGTGAACTACACTAACCTAACAAAAATATCACACTAATCACATATACGAAAAATTGAAGATTGGTAAAAAAAATTAGAAAAACAACTAATGGAGCCCTTGCTTTATTTAAATACATTTGAAACTTGAAGACATTTGTCTAATATTTACCATATTAGTTTTCACTTTCACACATAAGAGAACGAGAAATAATAATTTTACTTTTTTACCTGCTTATTGATATCATTGGGAGTTCATAGGGGTGTTCTCCTTACTCATGAACCCAATATCCAATATTACAATTAACTGACCGTTGTCATACTCCATCCGATAATGGGCGCCATACATTCCATCGCCTCGATACCCTATCCGATATGAGGGTGAACCATATCTCCCATGCTTTTCTGGTAAAGGACTTCCAGCTCCGTCTGACTGAGGTAACGTTCACAGTAGGGTTCCCTATGTACCGGACCTGTCCGCCCTTTCCCTGGGTAACTAACAAGTCTTTCACATACATATTTTCATCAATAAATAACCAACAAACTCATACCAATATCTCACATCACATTCACATATCAATTAAACTACATTCATGCTGACGGTATATAACTAAAATAACTAGATAAGTTGATAAGACTATTAAACTATAAATTAAGAACATATACTATATAAAAATCAAGAAAGTAGGACAGTATAGGAAAATAAATAGGAAACCAAGACAATTATGAACTAACCGATTCCGGCTCTACTACTAATTGTAATTATTTTTAGGATTTTGTAATTTTTCACAAAAATACAAAATTATACAACGATAAGCCTCAATTTACCATAACGGAGGATAGGGTGAAAAATTCTTACCCAAATCAGTGTTTCGAGATGTCGAGCTGTCTACTACGCATCCTAACGAGTACCGGGTTCCCTAGACTTTTTCTGTAGAATTTAAAACACTCGCCACATACCTAAAAGTACTCCAAAAATTCAAAATAGGTGTCCAAAACTCATTCCGACCAATTTTAGGGTTCTAGTGCTGAGTTTATCGCCCACGACCGTGGTTTGCCTCGGTCTTGCCAGTTTTTGCCAGTTTTAGCCGGTTTTGGCTGTATCCCTCCAGAAAAAAATGTTAGGAGCCTCAGTTGGCTTTAAAATCACAAAAAAAAATCGAACCTACCAGCAGGAGACCTTCGAGTGTGACGGTTTAGCTGAGGTTCTTTCTTCGGCTACCATGCACAGAAAATGACGATGAACACAATGATCAAAAAATACTTGAAATGAGAATCGATAAGGGGTTCATTGGAGGAATTTTAGAGTTTTAGCCACGGCAGCTCTGCTGGGCACTGCCCACAGTTTTCGGCTCACCCACCGTCTCTCTTGCTCCGATTTGGCCACAGGAGTACTCGGAATCAAGTTCTGAGCTGGTATGAAATTTTTTACCTTTTTTGGTGGTCGGTGGTGGCTTCTATGCGGTGGCGATCGACAGTCGGCCTCCTTCTTCGGCGTCAGGTTCTTCTTCTCCAACGTGTACTGGTGGCTAGGGTTTAGGTTCCTGTACGATGTGAAGTATTTATAATCATCTCGCGTTGATTTGGACCGTCCTTCGCGATCAATCTCATCCGTCTGATCATGCTTAAGGAGGAAACGAATATGCACCGTTCATCGCAATTAATCTCGACCGTCCGATCTTGCCTAAGAGAAAAACGGATCTAGGCTGTCCACTCTCGCGGGATCGATCTTGGGCCGTCCGATTGTGGGGCACGCGGATCATAGTGTGGCCTCTCATGTGGCACCGACATCACGCACCTTACCATGTGGCGCACTCATATTTGTCAAGGCTACTGACTGGGCAATCTTACATGGCTTAACTTTTTCTATTTATACTTTGACCTCCTGTTTCTAATTCTTCTTTCAAAAACACCCACAGAACTCAAATTTTTACCTTTTTTTCTCAAAATTATTTTCAATCTCATCCATAATTTATTTTTTCTCAAAATTTTACTTAAATAAAAATAAAATAAATTATTAATTTATTTTAAATTAATATTTAAAAAACAAAAAATTTATCTCGGGTCGTTTTTCGGGCTCGAGTATTACAACTCTCTCCCTTTTAGAAAATTTAATCTTTCAAATTAGTCACTCTCTCACTCAGTTGAACAGCTGGTGGTACTGGGCCCTGAAGCTTAATTCCAGTTCCTGAGTGACCTCTTCCTGCATATAGTTCTGCCATAGGACCTTGATGAATGGAATTTCTCAATTGTGGAGTACTTTACTCTTCCGGTCTACAATGTCTATCGGTACCTCCTCATAGGATAGATCCTCTTGGAGTAAAAGGAGTTCGTGGGATAAGATGTGTGAGAGGTCTAGGTTGTACTTGTGTAGCATAGATACAAGGAACACATTATGAACCCTGAAAAGCTCTGGAGGTAGTGCCAATATATAGACAGTCGTACCAATCCAGTCTAAGATCTTAAATGGTCAATCGAACTGGGGATTTAATTTTTTTTTCTTGTGAAACCTACTGATCTTTTTGAAAGGAATGACCATAAGAAACACTCGGTCACATTTCTCAAACTCCAAATCCCTCATTCGGGAGTCCGCATAACTTTTTTATCTGATCTAAGCTGTCTGAATGTTCTTCATGATCTTAACTATTTTGGTTGTAGTCTCATCCACAAGATCTGGGGCAAATAATGTTCTATCACCTACCTCTTCCCAACATATCGGCGATCTGCATGGGTAGCCATACAATGCCTCATACGGAGCCATATCGATACTTTCCTTATAGCTGTTATTGTAGACGAACTCTATCAGAGGTAGGTGATCATCCCAATGGCCCCAAAAGTTTAGAACACAAGCTCGAAGCATATCCTACAGTGTGCGAATCGTCCTCTTTGATTGTCCATCGGTTTGAGGGTGGAATGTGGTGCTAAGGGACAATTTCATTCTAATGGCTTACTGAAAACTAAACCAAAATCGAGAAGTAAACCTAGGGTCTCTATCAGATACCACTGACACTGGAATTCCATGTAACCTAACTATCTCTCGGATATACATTCTTGCTAACTTGTCTAAGGGGTCAGTCATCTTGATAGCCAGAAAGTGAGAAGACTTAGTGAGTCGAGCGACAATTACCCAAATGACATCATGTCCTGAGCGTGCCTTAGGCAATCCAGTTATGAAATTCATTGTGATATGTTCCCACTTCCACTCTGGAATCGGTAATGACTGAAGTAACCTGCCTGAGCGTTGATGCTCTACCTTAACCTGTTGGCATACCAGATACTTGGAAATAAAGTCGGCTATCTCTCTTTTCATTCCGCTTTACCAAAATCAGGGTCGCATACTTTGATACATTTTAGTACTTCTGAGATGTATGGCGAACTTAGAGTTGTGATCCTTTATCATGATGTTCCTTTTTAGTTCTCTGTCATCTGAAACACACACCCGTCATGAAACCTGAGCAATCCATTGACAGATACTCAAAATTCTAGATGTACTCCTTATTCTGCATCTTTCTTGAGGGCAGTTATGATAGAATCGGTTAATTAGGCTTCTCTTATTTTTTGGATCAATTCGGGTTGGATAGCTAGGTAGTCCAAGCATGTAACTCTCTTTAAGTACTGAAGTCATATCTGTTGTGCGGCCCCTATTATTGTGCATTCAAAAATCATTATGTGAGCTAATATACCTACACTTTTTCTACTGAAAACGTCAGCCACTACATTGCCCTTATCCAGCTGATACAAGATATTACAATCATAATCCTTTAGGAGCTCTATCTAATGCCTCTAATGTATGTTCAGATCCATTTGAGTGAATATGTGCTTCAAGCTCTTATGGTCAATAAAAATCTCAAAAGTCTCCCCATACAAGTAGTTGTGCTAAGTCTTCAAGACGTGAATAATGGCGGCAAGTTCCAAGTCGTGGGTGAGGTAATCTTTCTCATGACTCTTCAACTATCTGTACCCATAGGCTATGACCTTATCATGCTGTATCAGAACACAACCCAATCCCAGGTACGAGGCATCACTGTAAATTGTATATCCACCTATCCTACTTAGTAAGGTCAACACAGGTGCAGTAGTCAACTGCTTCTTGAGTTCTGTAAAGCTTCTTTCGCAGTTCATGTTCTATTTTAACCTAATGTTTTTCTTTGTGAGCCATGTCAAATGAGCGACTCGGTTAGAAAATTCTTCTATAAACCTGCAATAATAACTTATTTTTTCCAGAAAGTTACGAATCTCCTTGACCGAGGTCAATTTCTCCCATCCCAACGTTGCCTCAACTTTTTCGAAACTCGCTGATACTTCATCCATTGATATGATGTGTCCTATAAAGGTAGTCTGCTCGAGTTAGAACACACACTTACTCAATTTTGCATACAGTTTCTTCTCCCCGAGAATCTGCAAAACCTGAGTCAGGCGGTGAGCGTGTTCTTCTCTACTCTTTGAATAGATCATGATATTATCGATAAATACATTGATAAACTAATCCAATAATTATCTGAAAACCTTATTCAACAAGTTCATAAAAATGGTTCGTACGTTGGTTAGTCCAAAGGGCATGACTAGGAACTCATAATGTCTGTACATGATTCTGAAAGCTGTCTTGAAAATGTCTTCTGACCTGATCTTTTTTTAGTGGTAACCCAAACGCAAATCTATTTTGAAGAAAACCTGAACACCCTACAACTAGTCAAAAAGGTCATCAATTCTTGGGAAGGGGTATTTGCTCTTGATCGTAACTTGATTCAATCCTCTGTGATCAATACACAATCGTAACATCCCATCCCTTTTCTTTGCAAATATCACTTCAGAACCCCAAGGAGATACATTATGTCAGATGAAACCCCAAGGAGATACACTATGTCAGATGAACCTACTATCTTATAATTCATTGATCTGTTTTCTCAGTTCTTCCATCTCAACACGGCTCATGCGGTAAAGGGCAACATAGATAGTCTGGGTGCCAGACTGAAGATCTATGGTGAACTCAACTTTTTTGTCTACTGACAGTCTGGGTAGTTCATCAGGAAATACATTCAAGAAGTCTCGGACTACAGGGATCTCTTGAATACAAACTTTTTTCTTATGTTTGCCTTGTATTACTTCCGAGTTGGCTTCAACATCTAGCTTAGTGAGGTTGTAACCTCTGTCCTAGATAAGAGGTCTGGCCTGGTTCTGATTCTGTGGGCACTCTCTCGCGTAGTGCTCGGTGCTCTCACATATACGACATGCATTAGTAAGACGATAGCAGAGTCGGTCCCCATGATCCTTGCCACAGTGCTGCCAAGTCCTATCGCATCCTATTACTTGAGGTTGAGGAGGAGCTTGAGTTACTTGGCATAGACCTCTTGTTCTACTAAACCAGTGCAGTGGGTGTTGGTCTACGGTGTGAAACTGGGGGGTATGAGATTCCCAACTGCTAGAGAAAAGATGCAAAGGTTCATCTCCACTAACTGTGCATTGGCTAGAACGGGTGAGTATGTATTGAGCTAAATACGTACAGCTACTGTCTGATCTTAGGGCTGAGGCCCCCATCAAACTTCCTTGCCTTCTTGCCTTCATCCATCATGGGTGAAACTGGGTCCTATGGGAGAGGAACTGGATTGTGCTGTGG